GCGTAGCGTCATGCCTGAAATTGAAATTTGTAGCACAGTGGGCAGCTCGTGATCCAAAAACTTGCCGGCATAAGTGGATTTCCCAGATTTTGGATGGCGTTAAATAGCAATACAGTGTCATCAAAGTAATTTACCTCCAGGTTCATTACATAAAGCTGCCCTTATTGTATTTTTCTCTTTAGTTTGGTAGTTGCTTTTATTTCTTTTTGGAACAGGGCATTGGAACAGGACATTTTATGTAATGGTACCATAAGTAGTTTAATTTAGGTTTAAGTATCCAGTTGTTTCCTGGCATATAAAGAACATGTTAGATCTAATTTTATGTAATCTCAATATAGTCTTATTAGTGCACCATAAAGTGCAACCCTATTTTCCTTCTACCCAAAAAACCCCCGCATTCACGAACAAAAGGCAGCACCTGCGATGAATGTTTCCATGTATCACATAGATACAGATGATAGGTGAAATTCAGTAAATCTGAAAAATGGTGGATTTTTCTTTTTTAGTGCTAAAGACATTTATATTCTCATATTATTATTGTTATTTATATTATTGTGATAAACGTGTTTGATATGAATAAAAGCAGTATGTTTACCTTTGTTAGCATCCTTGTTGGTATCCATTGTGATCAAACCAAAGCTATGCAAATTAAATACAGAATATTGACTGAGTAAAATGAAATAGATTGCCTGAAACCAGTATAGAAGCCCTGAAATCAGAGCAATACGGCCTAAATGTTAATAGAAAAAAAATCTATTTAGCCTTTTAGTGGGTTGAATAACTTCCAGGCTTTTTACGAACACCCCATGGATCATCAGGAGGTCCCAGGTGGTTCCGTTGCCTTAGGAAATGCTCAATTCCTCCACTGTGGTGAGAATCCCCAGTTGGTTTAAGTCATATACTGTTAGACGCCAAGGAATCCAATTTACCCCGTTCCCATATTTCTTTGATTTCCTTTACTTTGTAAGGTCATTTATCTGAAATCTTAATTTGGAAACTGATTTCTTCCCTCTGTGACGAGCAGCAGGAGTTCCTCCCCCCTCACTCTCGACTGTCATAAAGGTAGGCAGGTGTCCTTAAAGATGTTGAAAGAATTGAATATAACAGACGTGTTCAATTAGAGCAAAACGATCTCGAAAATGAATTATTGTGCTCTTAATGGGCTGAGGAGAAAACACTCCCGGGAGAACACAAGGTGAGATCTGCTTTAAGGTACATCTCTTTAAGTGGTTCAGAACAAACTGAATATTTTAGGTAAAAAAAGGTGACAATCCACGAGCAAATTTAGACAGGTGGTCATCTATAAACAAGCTATTTTTACAGCATCTTTGGCTAATAGGTAATAGTATATTACAGCATGTTAAATATGTACAACATTAACACACCTCAGTCAGTTTTTTCTTAAAAAATATATCAATATCTATATATTAATAATATAATAATATCCTTATATTATTATCTGATATGCATTCAAACAAAAACACCCATTGTCTCGTCACACAGCATAAACCAAGCACCCCAACTGTTTGTTTTTTCATCTGTCATCGCTTATATTTGCACCTTTTATCTCTGGGAGGACAGTGACATCTGCCCATAAGAGTAATCCCAGCACACCAGGATTACCCACTTTAAAATGGAGAGAGGGAATATGACATCAAGTGTCTTCTTTCCTTTGTGTTAGCCAAGCCTCAAGGTGACATGGGAGTCTGCTCTCATCACCAGAGCCAACTATGACACTTACTCTCCATGGGACTCATTAAGGGGCAAAGGGGACCTCTGCACTGGCAGCATGTTCAACAAAATAAAGACATTTAACTAAACCCGGAATAAAGAGAGAGAGGACAAAAAAATCAAGTCTTGATACAATTCCATGAAACACCTGGCGGAGCCACACACAAGCACGGAGGAAATGTTGCACTGCCCTTACAAGGTGATCTGGGTGAGATGGAATTAGAGCAAAAATGCTTCCCATGTGGCTGAATCACACTGCAGTAAAGTAAGGTACCACCAACCAGTGATCAGGTACTTATCACATATTGGAAATCAAGAGATCAATATCATTAGAAAAAAGAAAAATTTTCTAACAAAAACTGCATTTACACATTTTTCAATAACATTTGAATTCAGTTTTATTTATAAAGCACTAACTCACATCAACAGTCGCCTATTATAAAGGCGCTTTAACAGAGAAAACCCCAACAATCAGACAAACTCTACGAGCAACCACCTGGCAACAGTGGGGAGAAAACTCCCATTTTAACAGAACCAGGCTCACGGAGGGGGAAGCCATCTGCCGTGACCGGTTGGGGGTGAGGATAGGAAGACCGGACAAAAGATACACTGTGAAAAAGAGCCAAGGTTTAATAATGACAATGATTAAAAGTTGTGTGTATAGATTAGGCTTAAAATGTATTTTAAACATAATCTTAAAAGTAGAAAGGGTGTCTGTCTCCCAAAACTGGGAGCGGAAAGCTGAAGGCTCTGCCTCCCACCCTACTTTTAAATATCCTAGGAACCACAAGTAAACCTGCAGTCTGAGGACAAAGTAGTTTAATGGGGTGATGCAGTACTATAAGGTCTTGAAGATAAGATGGGGCCTGATCATTCAAAGCCTTGTATGTGAGAAGGATTTTTAAAATTTGGTTCTGGATTTAACAGAGAGCCAATCAAGAGAAGCCAATATGGGGGAAATACGTGTTCTCTTTTTAGTCCCTGCAGTATTTTAAATCAACTGAAGACTTCTGAGGGTATTTTAGGACAAACCACTAATAACGAATTACAATAGTAATTAATAAATGCATGGACTAGTTTTCAGTATCACTCTGAGACAGGTTGTTTCTAGTTTTAGATTTCTCAAAGTGTTACTGGAGGCCGAGGTAAAGCCATTCAGAGTGACTGGTTAGACACTGTGTTTCCAAGGTTTTTAGGGCTGAGTACAATAACCACAGTTTGTTTATTAAAGTTGCAACAATTCATTCCAGTTCTCAGAACCACTGTGACGCTAGCTGTTAGGCTGTAATTAGACACTAATGGCATACTGGCTAGTTCTTAAGCATTAACGTGATAGATATTTTTGTTTTGACTGGGTCAATTTTAAGGTTCATCTACTCTAACCTAAATCAATCTATTTGTTTTAAGTTGTGTTGATTTGTCCCAACTACCCAGTGACTAAAAGGAAGTTAATAAGAAGGAATTGTTGGTTACCTGACTCATGTACCAGAGCTCATGTTCCTTACCACAGCGGCCTGGGTTCATCTCTGCCAAAACCCCTCTCTCTCCAATTTCCTGTCTACTCTACTCTGAATAAACACCTAAAATTCCCCCAAAGCATCAGCGCTTGTAATGAAGAGTTTGTTACCATTTGAGGGTACTTTTTTCCCAACTGTCTCCTTAAGAAAAGTCTTATTTATAGCACAATTTCCCTGTTTAGAACTTAACAACTCAACCACTGGTAAACCACAAACAGCATATACACCAGTCAGCCACTGGTAAAGTGGTAATTTATGAGCTTGCAATGTTCTGTTATTACACTATGAGGCACCTATGGTAGCAAATGTTGTATGTGGAGGTTACTTTCAAGTGCTGCCAAGTTACCTAACCAGTTACCTCTGCTACTATTGCTCCAAACCAAGCACCAAACTGGCAAAAACTCAGTGGCATAACAACGAATCCACCCTATTGACGTCTGCCACACTCCCCTTATTCCAGTCCTTTCAGGCATCAGGGGGGTGTGGAGGAACAGGTGATCTCACCAAACATCCCACAGCACACATAGGATCCAAGGCAGCATCCCAATACCTGAAACTACAAGACAACTAAAGATGTCCCAGAGCAGTTTGGTGGCATGAAAGGGAACTATAACAATGGCTTTAATGCCATGGCTTATCAGTATAAACACAGTAACAATGAATCTGCGTCAAGAAGGTGTGGGTGAGTATTGGTTCTACTAACTTTAGCAACTGTAAATAATGGAGTAGACTTTAAGTGCAGCAAATGAGGTCAGAAAGATGTCACTTGGACATAACAAATTCGTACCTGAACCTGATCGCACACTGTCACTGGGCTCAGCATTAGGGAAGGCTCTAATAGGGTGGGGTGTCAGCTACAGTGGCTTCTCTGCAGATGCAGGGCAGAGCAGCTCATTTCACAGAGAGCACATTTCAATGGGAGTCAAATTAACCACGTAACCCCTGGAACCTCTCTGACTGCATGATTGACGTTGACCAGCGAAACAAAACCTGCCGCGTCACCGAGAAACAACAAGCCCAAAGAGTGGAAGTATGGTGTTGTCACACTGTCACTGTGTGCTTTTTGAAGAGCACAAGAGCACAATCTCGATTAGTCTTTTGTCTGTCACATCGTATCATCGTCACAGCACAAAGCAAACGAGAGGTGGAAGAAGAAAGAAGGCACTAGAAAACTCTTCAGGAGTTATATTTGCACTGAGTGCAGCATAGTGGGAGCTCGGTAGACAAATACTCTCACATCTTAATTTTTCAATTAGCATGACTCTTGTTCTCTAAACATATGCAAACACAGCGGGGCGTCTATTAAAATGCAACTCTAGTGTTGAGCCTAATTAGACTAAATTGGTTGGCTTGTATTCGGAGAAATTTGAATGCAGCTTCTTATCCATGCTTTACCACATGTTTTGCCCCAACAACAAACAAAACAGAACTCGCTGCCTCATGCATATGTGCCCAGCTTCGAAGGAGGGACTGAGTTAGCCTGTCTTGCCATTCTGTTCTAATGTAGCTGGGGGTTTTTTTCTCTCACATTATTACTATAACATTATAAAATCTCTTTATTGTGTGTCCTGATTGCTTAATAATGCATTTGAATGGGGAATTATAATTTTAATGTGATATTTCCTTTGATTATGTGATCCTCTGCACTTGCATTTTGCTTCATTATCACTTTGTAGAGGGAAATAACTCAAACTAATAAAATGTTGCTGACTTTGTACCAGTGATGTTTTGATAGGAACAGATCTCCAGTGGGTTTTTTTGCCAGCGTCACTGGAATATTGGAGAGCCTTACAGCACAGCAGGCAGCAGGCCAAATGGACGCTGTGCATTGCAAAAGGGATGATCTGTCTTGGGTGCGCTACGCTTTGCCGATGTAAACAGCTGCCTCCGCATCCTGGACAAGAAGACTATGTTGCAGCTGGCCGCGTGACGACCCAATCCCAAGAGCGGACCAGCGCACGAAGACGGTGAGTTGCGGTAACACTGTGTTAGACATTAAGCCACGTTAGCCTCAATTGTGTGCAGCCACATATTTTTGGCTTGAGATAATCAGGTTTGTCATACTAAATGCATTTTTTATCTGTGATGCAATGGACCAGATGGCAGATGAAACAACGCTGAGAGCTGATGCAAAAGGCAAAGGGAGTGTAAACGGTGGTGAGGAGAGCTCTACATGGGTTAAAGGAGGTGAGTTGTAGATTAGGTTTGTAGAAAAACAGCTCAGTGTCACTTCGGAGTTGTCATGTCTCTTAGAAATCTCTGTTGTGATGATCTGAGATAGCCAGTGCCATCCTTACTGTTCCATCACTTTGCTTGCCTTGTGCAGTTATTTGACTTTAGTGACTGTGAACAGCCCTACAGTTTGAGAATGATTTCCCCAACAAACCCCCTGTTTTCAAATCATCTACTGTTCTTTGTTAGTTGCTTGCTTACATGCATTCTTTATAGTCTGTAGACGATTTTTGTTGTATACTTCCAGTTTGCATTTAGATTTTAAACATGAAGTAAAATTATCTTCAGACCCACCGCTCGGAGCAACTGTGGTGTCTAATGAGTGAGCGCGGCTCAGTGAAACACTGGAACAAAACCTGAAAAATGCATAGTATGCCCCCAGGCCTTATTTCTCTATCAGTTAATGGTCATGGGCATAGACCAGCTGCACTTCTTACTTAATTCATTTGATAACCCGAGAGCATCATGCTCATTCTCAGCTCAAACAAGTTTATTTTAACTTGTACTTCAAATAGCAATCCTTGCCTTCTTCACTTCTCATTCAATCACGGAGACATGACATGTAAAAACACAAACAATTCTAATGAGACATAAAAGAGTCTCGCATGCTGACAAAAGATGATAACACGAGACACCATGTTTAACTCTGTTATTTGATGGGAGCAGTTGTTTTTTAAACTAATAAAATCTTAAAAATGGACAATGCGGCCCTGAGCAATGTCCATTTTTATCTCTTCTTTGAGAATTTAGGGAAAACAAATACATTTTATTCACTCTCAAAAATTAATAAATCATCGGGCATTAAATCTTAAGTAAAACACAGAAAGGAGTGGTGAATATTTCATTCGGAATAGGTGGTGAAAAAGTAAACAGTCTGCTGCCAGCAGAGTAATTCATTATTATCTGTATTAATTAACGTATTAATTAACAATAACAACCCCTTCATTCCAGAAATTCCACACTTTTCTGGGAACTACCAGCACAGGCTAGATATGTTTTTATCTTTTCATTGTGTCAGCTGTCAGAATGGGATATGGCCAGCAGCGTTTCGTTTTTCATTTCCAGTTATGTTTATCACTTATTTACTATCTTGCTGAGAGTTCAATGCAAGAGTTGATCCACAAAGATGCGTGGTAACTTTCTATTATTGAAATGTACTGAAATCATTTACAAATCTCCCAATTACTGGATTTCCAAAAATACACAGTTTACACAACATCAGTAATGTCTTTACTTGTGCTTATCAGGATGCAGATTTTCTGTGACTGATGGCATATATATATTTATTTATTTATTTATTTATTTATTCATTAGGGGTGCAACGATGCACAAAATTCACGGTTCGGTTCGATACTTTGGTGTCACAGTTCAATATTTTTTCGATACAAAAAAATGTTCAAGCCTCTTTAATTTGTCATTTATTAAAATTATAAATGTATATTTTAACTCAAAAGTACGGTTTTTAAATGTAATGTTGCTGAAACAACAAAATAAAAAAAATAAAAAATCTATCTGATCGAGAAATCACTCATCTTTGGAAAAGAGAGTTTATTACAGAGAAATGTCTCTTTCCAAAATAAAAGCTATACTATACGCTTCTTCTGGGCTATATTCTCAGCAGCATATTAAACATATCAGGTCCCCATAAGGAGAATCATGTGCTAACGGCTGTCTAAATGACTCTGGTAAAGTTTGTAGCATGCGTGCTTGTTGTTTTTGTCTGCTTCCACTTGTCTTTGCACTAGGATGATGTCGGCGTAAATGTGCAGTGATATTCGTTGTGTTCCCACTAGTGCTGTCAGCGTAAATCTCGTTAAAATGACATTAACGCCATAACGCAGCAAATCTCCGTTAACAAGTTACCATGGATCGCCCCATGCGTGGGGCTGGACAGCGTCAACACGTTAACAAGCTAACTGCGCTAACGCACTAGTTCCCACCAATTGAGCATTGCGTGGCACATCCGACATACTGTTTTACTTTTGTCCATGACGCGCTTACCATCAGGGTCATGCTTCACATGAAAACCAAGATAGTTCCAAACGCCAGATCTGAATGAGGATGGGGGAGGTTCAATTTCGTCTAGCGTTGTGGCGGTTGCCATATTGCAACGAGCTTAGCTTCTGTCTTGCTAGCTTGCGCTGCGCTCAGTGGATCTGCATTCGACAGTGCAGCCTAGGCGGAGTAGTGGAACGCAGATTCACTGAGCGCTCAACACAGACAGCATCGTCAGAAGAAAAGTTGATAAAATAAATAAAAAATGTTGTATTGTTCGATACATACTCATTATGACACCTATTTCCAAATTATAACTACAGCAGACTTAAGAGCATTAATGAAATCAAAAACAGAAGCCTACATGCATATATACTAAGCATCTGACTGTTTTGGTTTAAGGTGGCTGCTCTTTTAGAATTTTCTGCTCCTTGTTTGATGTTTAAAATGCTGCAAAATACTGTGACATCCCTAACACTAGACCATATAAACTATATCTCTTACCTTAACTTCTTGATCCCCTTGAAAAAGTAGTAAAACTTGCCACTTACTTCTGCAGCATTACATTTTTATGGCTCCAGCTCCACGTCTGTTCACTCTTGGCTATTCTGTGACCATAACTACAAAGGTCCAGAAGAACATCTCCCCATTTTTTAATTCTCATTCTGGTCTTACGTCTGTATGCTAATTTTTAGCTAGCTCTGCACAGAAAAAGAAAATATTGTGGAAATAGCCTGCTAGTTCTGAAGGCCAAACTGATAGGCCAAAATCTCTACAAAAAGGAAAAATAAATGTGATAGTGAGAAGTTGTAGGTTTTACAAGGATTTAGGTGCTTTGTTTTGAAGTTTGTGTGTGTAGGGAAAGGATGGGGCAAATGAGCTAACCCTGCTAAAGCTAACCTACGCTAAAAGTTTCCTGTATCACCATTCACGATTAGTGTATGGACTTTAGGCAGCACGGTGGTTAGCAAGAAGATCCCGAGTTCAATTCCACCATCAGGCCGGGGTCTTTCTGTGTGCAGTTTGCATGTTCTCCCCGTGTTTGCGTGGGTTCCCTCCGGGTACTCCGGCTTCCTCCCACAGTCCAATAACATGCAGTTTGTGGGGATAGGTTAATTGGAAACTCTAAATTGTCCATAGGTGTGAATGTGAGTGCAAATGGTTGTCTGTGTCTATATGTTAGCCCTGCGACAGCTGGGCTCCAGCCCCCCCACCACAACCCTGAAAAGGATAAGCGGTTGACAATGGATCGATGGATGGACATTAGAGTGATGCCCCTACTGTTCACCACCCTAAAGTACTATCAGCAGCTTTACACAAGATTACCTGCAAACCAGTGGAACCAGTTACCTCTGCTCTCTGTACTCTTGCACATATACTTGATTTTGGGACATCTCCAGTACTCCAGTACTTATTTCAAAGACTACAGTAGATGTTGTTTGTTGATTCTTTACTGTAGGATTCATTTGTTTAACATTTCATCTATTCGACAGAAAGAATCGAAAGTGAGGTTCAAGTCAGCAGCTGGAGACTTGATACCTCTACAGAAATGGAGCCTGGGGAGACAAGCAGAGACACCAAGGCTAAGCTGCCTAGAGAGCGTGACGCCTCCGCTGCCCCTCTTTTCTCTTTGAAAATGTACCTAAGGAGATCCTCCTCTGCAGAAACGTACAGCACAGACTCTCTTTCCTCCTCGCAGCAAAGCAACCCAGGAGGTAAATGACACCAGTACTTCACTCTACTGTTTAAGTCTGTCTTCAGTGCCACTTCTTTTCTCGAGACGTCATTAAAATTGTTTTGAAATTAACTTTTTATCCAAATACAGGTTTTCTGCTGTTGAAATAAATGATTAATATGCAGGATAATTATGAAAATGACAAATTGCAAGCTTTATGTCTTACTATGCTGTGAGAATGCTTAAATATAGTTAATACAATCAATTATGAAAATGTCTGAATAATTTAGAAACTCAAACTGCAGCAAAAAAGAGAAATATTAATGCAAAAAAGGCCACAAGTATCACTACTTCAGATCCAGATGCATAACTGATTACAACACAGACTGTTTATGTTCTGATGCAATTCTTTTAAACTAAAAAAAATAAATAAAACTGTAATGTTGTAATGATAACCACTGTCTTAAATATGGTTTAATATGCAAGGAAATAGAAGAATGTCTTTTTATTTATTGACAATGAGAAAAGATGTGGCTCTTGTCTTGTAGACGCAGACATACTAGAGTAAACGTCTCACAAGTGATTACAAGTAGCCGAGATGACCAACTGGTTGCCCAGAGGATGAACGTTCAACACCTTCAACCTCTGGATGATCACTTTCAATCTCAGGGCAATTGCACATGTCACCTGGCGAGAGGCAACTTATCTCCATTCAATTGCAGTCTGTCTCGGATGATTGCAATCACTTTCCGTCAGGCCGACAAAGACCGTGCACATCAAGAGATCGTGTGCAAGCTTCAAGTGTCACAGAAAAATAATTGTTTGCGTGTAATGTTTGATGAAGCACTCCGAAGAAATACGCAAATGCTTAAAGAGAAGGAACAACAGGAGGCAGCACAGATGCAGCGCAAACTCCAAGACCCAGAGAAAGAAATGGAAGCATTGCAAGAATTTATAAACACAGACAGATTGCCAACATGTTGCAAATAAGTGTGAATTAGCCAATGAGCACAGCTCATCTGCAACACATCTAAACTGTACTCAGGTTACATTCCTCTATTAAAGCCTGCCGAGCGCCTTTATCATTTTGTAATTAAACTGCCATCCTGCTGAAACTACATTGCTCTGTGTGGAGCAATTATGAACTTTAGCCTCAAATCTATGAGGTTATGGCTGGACTCTGAAAGTAGTGCCCATGAATTTCTGTTTAATTTTGTGATTTGTGGTCTTTGCTGAGTTAAAAATTACAAAGTTATCACAGTTAATCACCATATTATTGATTATAGATACCAGCTTGACCCCATTCAGTTGCATGCTGACAGCAACTGACCACAGTTACAAAGCTGTAGCACTACATACAGAGATATAACTTGGACCCATTTCTACTTCCTACTATATTAAAAGGATATGATGATGAAATACATGTAGTTTGCTCATATGTTGCATCTTATCCATTCACGAGAGTTGTTCTCATTTAGGTTGACATGAGGTTGTTTGTTGTAAAGCTGTATTGTATTGTCCGTATGCTTGACAGTGGCTGAAATATAGATGTAGACTAAATAAGCTAATGTAGGCGATTCACAGACATAATAAAACTAGCAGCAACAGCAGTGGGCACCCAAGATTAGTGTCACCAGTTCAGTATGAGATTAAAAGTACAATGTCTTTTTCTCTTCCCGAGTTTTGATGTTCAATATTGATTATGCAAAACAGTCTATATCAGCGATCCCCAACCCCCGGGCCATGGACCGGTACCGATCCGTCAGTCGTTTGGTACCGGGCCGCAAGAGTTGAGGGTCGGGTGTGAAATTTATGGTTTTCAGGGTTTTGATCATTATTTTTTAAATCGTTTTTATCATTAACACGGTTTCCCTGCGTCTTTGCTCGTGTGTTCTGAATAAATCTTCGTTTTTTGCACCAGTACTAGTTTTATTTTGTTGTATTTATCCACAACACCTTAAAGGCCAGTCCGTGAAAATATTGTCGAACATAAACCGGTCTGTGGCGCAAAAAAGGTTGGGGACCGCTGGTCTATATTATATATTGCCAAAGCAGAGTTGCTCTTTCACCTCTTTGATATAAAATATCCCTTCATCATTTTATCTTTTTAGATTTGTGTCATTAGTGTAACAAGTCTAATTTTGAACTATAACCAGATTTTGTGAATTCTGAGGCCAAATTTGAAGAAATGACATTAAGAATCAGTTCACAGGAATGAGACAGACCCACAACCTGTCTTCTCCAACATGTACTTGAACTAAGATCAGATTGAAACCTCCACATATTTATATAAAAGCTTAGGAGAACAGTGAAGCCTTGCAGAGGGTATACCTTCTCTGAATTCTCTGCAGCGCAAGTCATAAGGTCGTTCCTGTGACACTCTTCAGTGAGTAACTGTCTGCTCATGGTCAGTGTCATTTGATGATCTCACACTTCATAGCACCCATGGGGGAACCATTTGGCAAAGCATGCTGGAAAGACACATAGCATTGTCTCACTGTAACCACAACGCACGTTGGAAGTGCTCCTGGCAAAGTATACAAGAGAGACTTCTGGTAATTGATTATGTCTCCAAACAGCTTTCCTGCTTGTCTCTCTGTGAGGGAGCGAGGCATGATTTCTTAAATTATGCATGTGTAAAGGAAGGAAAGGGGGCTTTTAAAATCTTATAAGATACAAGTGAAGCCCAGCTCTTATAGGAGCAGGGATGATTTATGTCCCGAGATATAATTTAAACGCTATCTATCACGCATTATTTCAAATAGGTCATTGTAAAAGTGTGAAGGGGTTGCAGCCCTTTATGAAGACAAAAAAATGTATATTGATTTAAAAGAAGAAAAAACACACTACTGAGTACATTATTTTCCTGATTATGTGTGTCTCCCTCAGTTGACTGTGCAGGAATTGTCTTGAACTGTCTCTTCTGTCGGTTCTACGATATGATCCACATGCTACCTGACTCCTGCAAGGGACTCGCCAATCACTGTTGCCCCAGCTACAAACACGTCATTACCACAGCGGAGTCTGCATCCAGCAGTGATGATGACTCATACATAGATTTGGATTGTGGTGTGTTTGGGTCCTGTCATGATGCAAGTGACTGCCTGGAGCTGGCTATGGAGGTTTCGGAAATTTGTTATCACTAGTAGGAAACTCATAATATTCACCAGTAAAAGCAGAAACTTACCATTAAACATGTGACGGTTCAGTGTGACGTGGAGGATTTCTAAGGGCTAAAACACAAATAAATACCAGTGTGATATTACAATGATAATAAACATGCATTATTTATCTGTGTATGCTTGTGTTTATGTCTCCTAAATATATGACAAGACCTGTGTACAATGGAGACTGCCTGTTCCACTTCTTTAAATATTTAAGTATTAGATAAGGTCTACTATCCAGTCAGGTACATAAGTACTTGGGCAAAGATATAATTTTTGACATTTTACCTCTTTACACTACTACAGTGGATTTAAATAGAAAAAAGGCAGACTTTCACCTTTATTTCATTTTATTTAACAATAGTACTTCAATAACTCTTCAGCAATTACATCCTTTTTTCTTTCTTAGTGTCCTGTTTTCCAATTCTGAGAAAAAACGGAAGCAGATGCTTGATTTTATGCACCTGTGACAGTGGAAGTGACTGGAACACTTGAATATAATGATTGGCATGGTTCAACTATTTAGCTAAACCACATTATTATTATTAATATTATTATTTTTGAACTCTTCTTGCCAGTTGTTATAAAACCTTACATTATAACAGTAAAAATCACCACCTACTCTAGATACTGTGTGAGTGAATGCCTTAACAGTAATTTAGTGTTCTGCATTTCAGTTTTACAGTATATTCACTATGCAGCAAGACAGCAGCGGCATCACAAACAATTCAACGGCCTTGAGGCCAGCAAATTCCACTGCAGCTGTGTTGATACACACTCTAACACACCAACAGGCACTCCAACTTCAACACGATAGTCTTTCTGAAGTATGGAAAAAAAAAATCTTGAAGCCTGTCCCCTGTTGAGCGTGCCTATTTCAGTTCAAGTGCCACTGGAAACACAGGAGCTGTTAGATATGGCATTTGTAGAACACTTGTCCTTGTCACTCCCCTCAACCTCTGTTCTCAAAGACAGTTCTCTCAAGTGGTAGATTACTGTTTGGATCTCTTCAGTCTGAAATATGTCCTTGTCACATTATGGGAAATGGACACAGGAGCAACGCTGCTATGCCAGTGAGAACGGTATACAGGACAACATTGTTCTTAAGCATCATCTAAGCATCATCATCTATCCCGGAGAGGTCAGCGTGAGTGCACGGAGACAACACCGTGTTACTGGATTATGTTCAATTACTGCACCAAACATTTGTTTTCTCCCATTACATATAAAGACAGAGTAATCTCACTCTGCTAACGAGAAGACCATTGTAGAGCACTCCTGTTTTGCTGCTGCACACCATGGTAATGGTACTATATTGGTACAGTGCTGAGACTGAATCTTTGAAAGACCTTTCATTGTCATGTTTGCAGTTGTTGCACCCTGATCACTGTACAGAACGTGTCCCAGAAGTCAACTTCAGACAGTGTTTATGAGTCTAAACATCATAGCTGAAGGACAGAGTCATGTACCAGGTAATGTCTTAGTCAGCTAACCATACAGTATTAAAGCTGCTTGGTTACGGCTTCATGGCAATTTTTCTTTGTATCAATTTCACTTGAATATTTTTTTTGTTCCCAAAGTGATTTTTTTGTACAACTTACGTTAATGAAAACATGTTTGAACTTAATAAAGTTGTTGATGTAAATGGTCAAAATAACCATGACTTGTAAACTGTAAAGTTAATTGTACAGTTGCAGCCCGTTCTCACTCCCGAGGCGTAATATGCTGATGGTTTGTCAAGTCCCGAGGCCTTCCTGAGGAACGCGAAAGGTCACCTTTTGCGTTCTTATGCTACGTGCCGGGTTATGGATGAAATCCAGTAGAATAACGCTCCCACGGTAATACATGTTCGAGCCATGTATTCCAGCCCTAACCGGAACCTTAAACAGCACTTTAATGACGTTAGTAGTGTTTTCCAAATCAATTTGAAGTAAAACAAATGTACATGTGTAGATTCATTCCAAACGGTTCGCATGTTTACTCGTTTTTCCAATGTCGTAATATAGGGACGTGTTGGGTGCCCGGAAGCGTAATATACCGACGATTTGTCACCTAGCGTAAAATGTTACGCTTTGGGAGTGAGAACGTGTTGACAGTTGCTTGAGATGCTGTAGGTAACCAGCCAAATGCATGTGGTACTTTCTGACCTTGAAGAGCTTTCTGGTTACGAGCATTAAAAACAGCAACACTGTTTGAGGATCTTGGTTAAAAGGTCTATTCTTCCTTACTCATCATCTTCTAAACTTTTAACTTTGAGATGAACACTTACATAGTTAACTTTAGCTTAGTTTGGGTTAATAATCACACAAGAATCCCCTGATGAGCTCTACTTAAACATTACAAACAGCAGTTTAGCAACGATGACTGAATGATACGGGTGTGAACAGTGTTTACGTCACTCATCACATCGCTGTTAACTCACATGATGCTGGGCATTACGAGCACTATTTTGAGTATTTTCTGGCAACCTGACAGAACGGATTTCAAAAGAGCCTTCTCTGTAACTGCATCTGCAAAAGAAAAAAAATAACCTCAATGTGACATTTGGTAAAGCCTGAATACCAAAAGCATGAGCTAAACAGATAAAGTCACACAAAACCCACAGAGGACACATAACATGGCGACAAAATTCAATAAACTCCTGTCTGAAGAGAACTTACACGTTCACTCACATTAAAAGCAATGCAGACAAGGACACAAAGACTTGAATCCTCTGATCCTTGAACATTAGCGTATTCCAGCACTGATTTCTCCATTCTACAATCTGTGTTACTAATGCTTACCATGCTACTACTACCACCATGGAAATTATACCGGTTGATTTCATTTCAGATAAAAGTTCAAGTTTTCATGACTCACAGCTTAATAAGAGACAGCAGCACAAGGAGATTACTTTTAAAGACAAAATATAAAATGTTGCAGTGCATTTATCAGCAACTCTTCTGCATGAATGAAAGCTGTACCCATGACATTGCTAACGATGTGTTAGGTACAGTATTGGTCAATAAGATTAAAGTAGCATAGGAACACTACTCTTCATAGAAGCCAAGACTTGATTGACTGGTAATATTAAAACCAGGTCAGAGAAACTACACAGATAATAACACAAATCCTCCAGATTTCTTTTTTTTAATATGATACTTTAATTGTTTTGCTGAAAGTTGTTCTTTAGTCGCAGAGTACAAACAAGGATTAGTGTGCATTCATCCGCAAATCATCTGCACCTCCGGGAGGCTGTTTTATGTTTGCAAAACCAGACTGAAACACTTTGAAAATGTTCCAGAATTTTTTTATTTAATTTTTAATTTTTTGGAATTGAATGCTAAGACATGACGAAAAGGAGCTTTTTTTTTTTTTTTTTTTTTTTTTTAAAGAAAAGGGAATTAAATGTTGCTCCTTTATTTACATGATACTGCTTGCATTTATATTCCTGTGCCACAAATCTAAAAAAAAAGAAAAGAAAAACTTTTCATCACCCGTTTCATGCGCTCTCCTTGTAAGGTTTTGTTTAAAGCTCAAATGTGTTGTATTTTTAGATAGAATAAGTCCTCTGATGAGAATTAGGCTCTAAACCATGTGACTATGTTTGACCTCCTAAAAGCTGCGCAGGGCCTCAGACGGCACCGCGCAGACAAATAAAAGTAGATACTGCACATGCTGTGCAAAATTGCATGTTGCGGGTTACATCTACAGGGAGCACTGCTTGTGACCAATTTTCTCATTACCTGGTGCAGCACAATTACAGAGCTGAGTGCTCTAGCTCATACTGCTCCATAAAACCTATTGGAGGTCCTTTGTGGCTTTTCTAACATAAAGCGCGTCTGCATAAACAGATGCCAGTTTTAAAACGAAAACATCTGCACATCTTAAACTCACTGGATCTCTTTCAAATTACCTGATGGCTCTGGGAGTTGCGCAGGCTTTAGGAACTCTAATGTTTTTTAATAACATCCAAATGGCCTGTCCTTTACTGGCCAGGTTCAAATGCCGTCCCATCCCGGCCGAGCGGATGTGGACAAGGTCAGGTGGTTTTCACTGCTGCGCAACACATGCGTGCACCTTAATGGTCACTCAGAGGATACTGTTAACCCATTAGCTTGCATAGTGCTCCTCTAGTTCCTGGTTTAAATCAAAACAGCTGGGAAGAGGGTCAAAAAGAAACAGAAATGCTGAAATGATTAAATGTGAAATGGGTTGTTGCTAACAAAACACTTCAAACGCCGCGTGCCGCTCTGCTGTTGTGTTTAGTGACACAAGACTCGCATTAGCAAAGTGATCTAATCGCGTGCTGCTTCGCCATGTTTACATGCATCTCTGCTCACTAATCGGATATGAGGTTTCTTCACAGAGTTCGGGCCCTGATCGCTTCATTAGTGTGAAGCTGCTCTTCCTCCTGAGCACACAGCACTAATACCATCTCCCTTCAGACACAGCGCTGCAGCCCAGAGTGGCCTCCTGAGGAAGCAGCACCATTAAATATTAATGCCATGTGTTTAGAGGGTTTTTATTTCAAACAGCGGGTTTGTCAGCATCTTATGTGGCGTTCTTCAAGATTAAGTCCATGTGGAAAACGGGGGTCCCGACGCTTTCTGCAGCATTGTGCCTTCAGAATAATTTAGATCTGTTTTTCTAATGGTCTTTCTGTGTTAATATCGCCAACATTTTCCATGATTTTCTTAAGCAAATGGAGCATTTTTAAGTGGGCGAGAGTACTGCCTTCTGTACCTTACAGTGTGCTGTGTAGCTGTCATGAGGTGAAGAATGTTTGGGTTCATTTAAGTTGACATCACTGCAGAAATGTGTTTTTTATAAACCTCTTTTTCAGTTCCACCCATGATGCAGAAAAATACCATAATGCCCAAGAAAATAACTTTTGAGCGTCTATGAATTACGACGCTGGAAGACAATCTCGAAACATAATCAAGTTCATGCATTTCCTTTCTTTGTTGGACTGCTCTGATAAAATAGCGCGAGCTCGTCTAAACGTAATAAAAATCAATCAAAGAATTTGTCATCTGTCCTCATTTGTTCTATTGTCCTAGTTTACATGCCAATTTCACAATTACCCCCTCGAATGAACCTGACCTCGCTTGCATATAGGGAAGTGGCGTATGTGAGCATCCTCCTCAATTAGGTCAGGGGCGTTAATAGTACAGCAGAAAACGAACACTCCCCACAACATCCTCCAGGAATTGCGCCTGACACTACTGACTGCCTTGAATCTATATTTGGGCCAAGTGTGTGGATGTGTGTCACCCAAGACTACCCGCCTAATCTCCGCCACAGAAAGTAAAGTGAGTTGTGGGCCCATGGGCGGAGATCGTCAAGACACAAAGGGATCTCCCAGCAGGCACAGCAAAAACCAGGCCCTGGGCAGGCTTTTATGATACCTTTCAATCAGTGGATGATTCCCAGCTGAAATGACAGGTGATTTGACTCAGCCTGCAATTAATGACCTCATTTTAACAATTAAGAGCAGGGGAGGAAGAGGAAAGCCCCCGAAAAAGACAGCGAGTTGAGCCGGGGGGCGAGTTTTGATGCCTTGATAGTGCAAGACAGTAACGTCTCCGCGTGTCAAACGTGACTGGAGCTTGTTGTCGCGGCTCAGGTGACCTCCTCCTCTTTTAAGCAGGTGGAATCCTGCAGGGAGAGCACACAGTGATGAGGAGCAGGCATGGGGAGGGGGAGGCTGTGGCAAGGATAGGGCGAAGAGGTGACTAGAGGGTGGCAAGGGAATGATGGAGTGCATCAAGCTGTGTGCCCACCCCCCCAACCTTCTCCTCCACCTTCTCTTACCCCCACCCCCCACAGCATAGAGGAAATTAAAGAGCTGTGTAGCAGGAGGAGAAGAGGAGAGGAGGGTGGTGATTTAGAGCGTGGCACAGGGGGATGGGGACCCGGCGCATTGGAGTTAATTACTGAATAATGAGGAACAATTTATTGTGTTCTTGTTAGAGACATCAAAATGCTGCTGGATACTGCCTATAGAGAGGAGCATGCCTCTCTCACTCCTTGTGCATCGGTTAAAATGTGGCGTTTAACTCAAAGTCATTAAAAAGCCCCCACCTTGCTTTGCCTTGCCTTATAAAGTGGCGGTGTTGCAGGTCTCCTGGGCAGATGAGGGGTCTTAACACATTGCCCTAAAATACTTCCACTTTCCTCCAGGCCTTCTGAGTGTACACTAAAACCTAATGACATTACCTGAGATGGGCTTCTTCTTGTTTTCATGGCATGCCACAAATCGTCCTGATTTTTATCCACAGCTACAGATAAGTTAGCTTCCTAACAAGGGCCACTATCAGCTCCTAAGCTAGCTAATTAAGACACTGCTATAAAATCTCCATAAGTAAAAAGAAAAACGGTCTCCTTTTGATCTTCTAAATGTTTGAAAAGGACTCATTAACACAACCACCTTTTGCATTTCTAACATTACTAGAGAACGACTGCTAGAAGAAGGAATACCATCCCTGATGTCACACTCTGTCAGGTAGCATTGGCTGAGGTTAGCGTAAATTTTTGACATATTAGATCTTCCCTTCCTTTATTAAACCTGTAATCAAATTTGTTTTATAAATTATATGCCACTTCTAATCCTAGAATACAGTGTTTGCTTATTGTTTTAGTAGGTAACTGGACTTGCCAACAATTGCAGCTTGCGTTAGTGTTGTTTCCTTACATCTGTTTTTTTGCCAACTTAACTTCAAGGCTGTCATCCACACAAAGTCTCATTCAGATCTCCACTGATATTTGTAATGTATAATTTGAAATTGTAGATCAGGAATAATGGTGTATCTGAGTCACATGGTAGCTCACAGGCTAGCTAAATGCTATATCATACCCTGCTTTATAGTCTGAACTAAAAATGACCAGTACTGTTTAAG